CGTGATGGATGTTCTATTGCAAGGTGTCCAAGGGGAGGTTCCTTGGTGCATGTTTTTTGCTGAAGATTGAAGATATTGTGTTGACCGACAAGACGCGTGAGAGGCTAAATGAGAACTTGGAGTTATAGCATCACTCCTTGAATTTTTGGTAATCTGGAATGCTGCTTAGTGGTAGGGCGACTATATTGGATTTAGAAGTTAACATTGAGTCAGACCCCTTGCCTAAGAGAGACAAGTTTTGGTATTTTGGTTCTATCATTCAGGCACATGGGGAGACAAACGGGGATGTTGTTCACTGTATAAGAGCTGCTTGGGCAAAGTGGAAGCTAGCTTTAGGGGTTCTCTATGACAAGAAGATTCCAGCAAGGATGAAAGGAATTTTTACTAGTCTGTTGTGAGACTGGCTATGCTTTCCGGAGCGGAGTGTCTGTGGGTTAAGGCAGAGATGCGGATCCAGATGAGGTTGGATAGGATTCACAATGAGGTTTATATGGGGACAGGGGTGGATCATGTGCACTTTCCTTGCTCACTGTCTTTTGTCTCTTTGCGCCTTTCTTTATCCTTACTCTGCTCTATGCTTTATTATTCGTGCTTTTTGTGCTTCTATGTTGCCCGAGCCGGGGGTCTCTTGGAAACAGCCTCTCTACTTTCGAGTAGGGTTAAGGTCTGCATACACACACACCCATACCCTACTTTTGTGGCATTCAGCTAGGTTGTCGTTATTTGACTTGGGGTCACTTGGCATGATTTTTAATAAAAGTGGAAATTGTCTGGTTGAAAATTCTTTGAAGTCGAGAGAAACAATATGGATCACAAAACCTTTTCTTAAAAAGGAAAGTGGAACAAAAATTTGAGATGGTCCATATAGGAACAAAGGAATCCCTACCAAAACAATGGACGAATCCCTACCAGTTCATAATGTTATCAACCTTGTGGCACAAACACCATGTTACAATGTTAGTCAATAGTCGTCAAAAGATTAAGATACAAAATATTGCAGTAAGGGCAATCACATTAGAGATAAAATTTCCATTTAGTGCAGGGTGAATGCATTGTAACTGATAGTGTTTTTACCTTAGACACAGACATCATGTTAGTTGTCAGAGTGCCAGTCTTATCACTGCAAATCACAGTTGTGCAGCCTAAGGTCTCTACTGATGGTAGGGATCTGACAATCGCATTTAACCGAGCCATTCTTTTTGTTCCGAGAGCAAGACAGCTGTCAAAATATTTATAAAAAAACTTTCACTTAGTATGAAAACAAATCTCATGCAAGAGGTGTACGACAATAATTTCATATGGTCCGCCTTAAAAAAGTATCTCATCTGAGTTTTCTTGGTCAAAATTTACAATATCTGGATAAAATTCATTGAGTTGTGATATGAACATAATAGCAGTAAGTTTATTTTGAACTTCTAGTTTTAAATTATCAGGTTTTTATAATATAATTATATATTTATATATAATTATAGACAATAATGGTCAAAGTATTGCATTGCGCTCTTTAAAAAGCCAAATAAGAAACAATATTCTAGGATGGAGAGAGTATAGCTCTTTACCAACATAACAAACATAAGTATTGGAAATTGTAGTTCATTACTCACGTGGTAACAACTGCAGGAAGCCCTTCAGGAATTGCAGCAACAGCAAGTGCAACAGCAATCTTGGCAAACAAGAGAAACATATGTATTAGAGTTAGTTCTTGACATTTTGGCTTATGAAAAGTTGATTGACTTTGGCATTTCTACTCTTTGATTTTTGAAAGGTAGTTCTGTAATGAGTCCTTATATTACTCCGTACATGAGTACCACCTCACTTTAAGGAAGTTTTATAAGATGACTATGTGTAAATTAATGGGTGTAAAATGTGATAATTACACTTCATTAGTTTATGAAAATCTAAACAGTCATACACGCTTCATCCTTTGGTTTTTTTATTAGAAAAAATTCAGTGACAAGCCCATTTTGTACATATCATTGTGTCCTCAATTTATTAATCATCAGATGATTATGTGAAACCTGAAAAGTAATGTGCTAGAAATATAATTGCTGCACTAGTTCATTGCCCTCACTGGTGTATGATTTTTTTGGAGCAGGGAAGCAGTTGCAGAAAAGCGGCCAAGTTTCCCTTTCCCGCAGCAGAATGACCCTTCTGCAGTGTGTGAAGACTAAATTTGTGTGGGTGGGGGTCCAAATTGAATGACTCGAATGACATCAAAATTAAGGCACCAACATTCATGAAGGAAAACTTTTAAAGGCAGAAAAAAATTAGTTACAAGCCATACACATATTTAACTAAAGTGTTTAACAACCCCCAAGAATTCAGCTAACCACTCTAACCAACTGAGTTAGCTTAATATAACAGAATTAACTAACTCCCTTCTGCGTATGTACTGTAACATACTATTCCTATTGAACAACCACGTCCTCGAGGTTGAAAATCTGATTGCCAAATCTTCAGCCCATTCCCAAGTGGCATCTTGTGAGGTTTGCCCAGACCAGTGAACCAAAAAACTGAGTTTTAGCAGAGTTATTGTCTTTAGTTGCCTGTATAGCTAGGAACCTTTCTGGAGTAGGCATGCTATCAGTGGTGGGGCCTTGCAGCCGAGAGGGTAAGTGTAGCCCCATGGCACACCCAGAATATGGGGCAAAAAACTGCAGAGGAGCAGGATCTGAAGCGATGGCAGCTACAAGAATTTGAACTTATTGTGCCACAGTTGTGCGTTTCTGTCCAATCGCTACATAGGCACAATAAAATGTCTCGCTCTCAGAGGAGGACTTCAGCTTGGACTTGAAACGGACCAGAATACTTGCCAGGTAACTTCTCATTACTCCTGTTCGTTATAGTGGCTTGTTTGTAAGCCTGAAACTTGAGCCATACCCAATCCACAACTTGAAAATTTCTGTCGGTTCGTGAGAATCATTTCCTCTTTTTTCCTCTTTTTTCTGCAAATTAAACTTGAGTTGCCTGATCGTTTCCTCTTTTTTCTGTTGGGATCTATCCAATAGATGCACTCTAGACTCCCCTGGAAGATAAGGAAGGTAGATAGGAGGTGACTGAGTGTACATAACTTCATAGGGTGTCAGTTGTGTTGCAGAATGATAAGTGGTATTATACCACCATTCAGCCAAGTACCCATTTAGACCACTGGTTAGGTTTATCACTGCACGTGCAACTCTAATTCTCAAGGCACCTGTTAACCACCTCAGTGTGCTCATCCCATCTGTTTGAGGATGATAGGCAGAGGATAGTAATAAGTCTACTCCATGCATAGTATACAAGCCTTGCCAGAATGTACTCAAGACGAGTGTCCCTATCACTAAGAAATATTGTTAAATTTCCTTCTTTTAATGGGATGTGAACACAGCTTTCCCAAAGTTGGTAGACATTATCAAGATAGGATTGAGCCACCTCTAGGGCATAATAGGGTGGGCTAAGCTCATGAAGTGTGCAGATTTACTCAGCACATCTACCACCACAAATATAACCTTCTTACCTTGGGAGTTATTTAAGCCTCCAATGAAAGTTTGTGTAATGTGTGATTTCCTTGCTAATGGCTGCAATAAGCATGGGGATGTTGTAGTTTCATGCTTGAATGATTGACAGATAATGCAAGTTCTGGTGTAATGTGTGATTTCCTTGTTTAGGCCTCTCCTATAGAATAGATTCTTGACCCTTTTGAGAGTAGCATCCGTGCCAAAGTGAACCCCAATAAGAAGAAGCATGTGCCGGTTGTAAATAAATAAATAAATAAATAATATGCTTAAGCAGGGGATCCGGGCCTATAACCAATTACCTCCTCACTTGTTGTTGCTGCCAAGAATAGTGAGGTAGGATGGAACCTTTCCGGTGTTGTAGGGTAATGTCCTGCATATTTTTGTCCAGAATCTGCTGCATTATTATCATGACCCTTCTTATAGAATTTAGGATGGGGTATGATAAACTGAATTAGGCCATAAGACACTTGGGCTGAACCACAATCGATTACTTAGTTCTACTCAAGAGCTTATGTATCGATTACTTTTCTATTCAACTTCCGATGAGGGATAGACTCTAACACTCCCCCTCAAGTGGACGACCGGGCCATTTTGAATCTAACCGGTTGACCACTTCCAAATGGACTTCCACCCCCTCAATTGTTTTTGAGCGCCCACACCTAAAGGACCACGAGCCGCTGGGTATGGACTTCAAGACGAGCAATGGCCACATGCCGTTGGGTATACATTTCACACGGACAACTCAGCTAAAGATTGGGACTGCTAGGAATGAACGCCTAGACAGAGACCTTAACAAACGAGGTGGGCTAAAACTGGCTCCGATACCATGATAGAATTTAAGATTGGGTAGAGATAACTGGATTGGGCCATAAGACACTTGGGCTGAACCACATTAAAAGATTGAATCCAATTGATAACTTAGTTCAACTCAAGAGCTTATATATCTATTATTTTTCTATACAACTTCCGATGTGGGATACACTCTAACATGTTTAAAGAGCCATAACTGTTGCAATGGAAAAGAAACCTTCTGCCCAAATAGACATTTCAAACTTTTCTGATTTGTCTTAATGATGGATGGAGGGTTTGGACTCTAAGTAGTGTTCATTCGTTCCCACTTTTGAACAATTGAACTGAGTGTACTACAAATAGTAACTCATTGTCATTGATTGACAGTTGTTGCCATTTAGAGGCCAAGGACTTGCTAATGAAGACCACAAGGTGATTATTTTGTAAGATCGTGACTCGGAACATAAGATCCTACTATATATATATATATATATATACACAATGTTTTAAACTTTTAATTAAATTTTAATAAACATAACATAAGTTCAAATTGGATCACAAATGACTTAAAACTTTATTCATAGCAAGAGAAAAAAAACTGAAGGAAGGCTGACAAGCAAAGAGGTCTCTATTCCCAAATAAATAGAAGAATACTCTGTTTCCGATCGAAACAAAGGGAGATAAATAAAGGGAGAAACTAAGCTTCTTTCCTATTGAAATAAATAAATAGAAGAAGACGATACGGTGCTTTCCTATTGAAATTGGGAATAAATAAAGGGAGATACTCTGTTTCCGATCGGAATTGGGAGTCGCAACAGATGCGACTTTCCAATTGCAATTCCAGACGCGATTGAAATGAGGTTTGAAGAGACGTTGTTTGGGCTTCGCAGACTCGGCGAATGAACCCGATCCTGCGTTTCTGCGAGTCGAATCGTCGATCCAGACGATTCCATGGAATTCGCGATTCTGCAGCCGTCTCGGATCGGTAAGGTACCGGGGATCCCCAGAATCGTAGACTCGTACCATGGTTTCTACCACTTTCATTCTTTGGCACCTATTACCCCCATGGCTGGATTGTTATCAACTATTGCTTGTAGGTCAGGCATTTCAAAGTGATCAGCTTCTTATTAACCTAAAACCTCCACCAAAAAGAGCCGTGTTTCTTTGTTTTTGCATTCAGGTCCCTTCTCAAATGGCTTGTCATGATAAACACCATAAACCTTTTGTCATTTTCAAAGCTCTAATGTTAGCAGGTATAAACCTTGGATTTCATTGTGGGGGGAAAGTTGATCTTGTTGCTAAAAGGAATACTGTGATTACCTTGAGAGTGTAGGTGGCATTTGTTTTAGGAACTGATTTAGGCTTGGCTAACAAGGGTATGGCATTTCTTGTTTGCAGAATGCAGGCTATAGGATTTGCAAGCTTGCTTCTCTTCTACTGAATCTTTAATGCCTCCATTGCTTTTTCTTGGAATCTAGCATACTCAATAGCCTTAGTCACAGAGGTAGGAGAAAAGGCTTTAACAAAGCGCATAATTTGGGGTTTAAGGCCGGCAATGAAACTATCCAGAAAATATTCTTGAGGCATTATGGGCCTCAACTGTAGCAGTAGTCCTTTTAACTCCTCAAACTTATCAAGATGTTCTTCTGAACACCCCATTTGACATAGCCTATTAAATTCTTCAACAATATTACTCCGTATTATGCATTTCATCCTTGAATCTAGCACACAGGTCCACAGTGAATACTTCCCAATTCAACATTATTTCTATTTTGTACATAGTTACTGAACCATATCTCAGCGCTTCCTTTCAGGCATATAGCAGTGAGATACTCTTTTATCTTCATTTATACTTTGAATAATGAAAAGTAGTATCTACATTTTTTAATCCATTCCCTCGGACTACACCTATCAAACACAGAGAAATCAATTTTAGGATTAAAATGGAATTGATTTCTTCCTTTGATGTGTGTAGATGTATAAACCAGTTTCCTCCTAAAGTTTGGTTGCTGGAATTTCTTTATTGCAATTTTTGCACCTGCGCAGTTGGGCCTGATCCTCCATTATTTTTCATTGAGCAGCTGCACATTCATCTGGGTCTGGTGCTGTTCTATCATCTTCTTGATTGCCTCTTCCATTTTGGTTTTCAATCTGGTATAGGCCAGATTGATAGGTGAGCAATCTGGGTTGTTATTATTGTTGTATTAACAAGATTGATGGGTGATCAAAGCGGACAGGATCTGAGGTGTTAATTCCAATGATACAGCTTATAGGAAACTACTCAATTTGAGGGAGGAGAGCTTTAAAAATGATATATGCTCATTAATGGAGAAATGAGAAAGAACAGCGAGGAGACGGAAGAGAGAGATGTGGAAGAAAAGTATTTCATTCATCAAATGATTCTTACAATCCACACGTATTTAAAAAAAGTGTTTAACAACACCCCATGAATTCAGCTAACCACTGTAACCAACTGAGTTAACTATTTTAACAGAATTAACTAGCTCCCTTCTTCTCTTTTTTTAAAGGAAAACTAGATCCCTTCTATGTTTACACTGTAACATCCGATTTACCCTTTTTAGCCATATTTAACCTAATTAGGTTGAAGATTAAGTTTCGATCCGATGAGTAATAGCTTTTGAAAAGTAATGTGTCAAAGTTCCTCATATAGGTTTAATACAAATAGGTGCGTAAAAAATTCAAAGTTACCCAACTGGCAGGGATTCCACTCCACTCTTGTTGAATATGACCATAATAACATATTTTGCAGTATCATGTAATAAAAAACAATGCATATTAATAAACCAATTTCACATACTTTGAAATAGTGTATTGCCCCTCGGAGGAAGCCGCCATGAGCAGGATCACTAAAATGACCGATGTTTACAGCCCAAACCAATACACAAATACCTGCAATGACCTAATTTAAACCACCAAAATAAAGTAAGAGTCCAGAATGTTCAAATAAAAGATTAACTAGATCCAGTATGAGGAAAAAATGATATATAAGACTCTATATCATATGAAGCCATTTCAAAATAAGACAACTACAATATTAATCTTACATAGTCGAAGACTTAAATACCATGTCCATCTAAATTTATTGAAGGAAAGATATGGTAATGTTATCTCAACCACATCTCCGCTTCAACTTCAAAAGTGAGAATAAATATCAGCAAGCCTCGGTAAACTGAATAGTTTCCAGTCTTCTAATAGTAAATAAGCATCATCCCAAATTAAACATCACACATTCTTTGTTAGGCCGTCAAAACTTCTCTGCTTTCAAGAGAAGTATTATGTGAATCATAATATTTCTCTCCTTTGCATAAATCTCCACCACGCCGTTTTACTTCCTTAAACTATGTTCAAAATGTATGCAGGACATTTAATTTGGAACAGGAGTAGTTGATAAGTAATAGTCCAATGTGTTTAGTTGTTATGACTAGTGGATGGTGCTAGTTGTTTTGAAACAATGATTTTGCCATTTAGTTTGGAGTATAAGTTAAATTAATTGTTTTGTAAAAAATAATAACTGACAAAAAATAAAATTAGTTTAAATATAAAAAAAATATAGTAAAAAATGGGTTTGTATATTTAAAAATTTAGTTTAAAAAATAATAAAATAAAAATAATTTGGTAATACAATGATAACAAAACCTTGTCCCAAGTAACTTGGGGTCGTCTACATAAGCAGAGAAGGGAATTACCTTCCAGCATTCATAAAATTGTTCTCTCACCAGTTCTCTCACATTCATATTGGACAAATCCTTCCTAATCAACCCCTCCCACATCTTTATGGATCTCACTATCTCACTTTTGTGAAATTCATTTCTCCACATCTAAGCGGTAAATCATTACACCTTCTATGTATGTGTCCAAATCACTACAGTTGATCCTTGTTTAATTTATATTCAATAAATGTCAATTTGTCAGGGATCAAGAAGAGTAAGAACTTCGGATCCTATATTCCATGACTAGTTAGGAAGAATTGTTTAATTGCTTCAACGATGATTATATCAAAAAATATAAGCCCCTCTATTCATGCTACTCGAGAGAGTCTTGGTGAGTAAGTGAATAGAGTCCTAATCTAATACAGAGTACAATATTGCTATTACTAACATTAACTAAAACGTAGTACCAGTACTGATAAGAAACTATTACAAATTGGCCATTGATCCCTTTCAGGTGGCAACAACTTCCAAGGATTGAGTACATTATCCTATATTTTCATTACTTCTCTGTCCCTCCAGAAGTACATAGCCAATTTTTCATAATCCCAAAAGGCACTCTTCATACCCTTCAGCCACTTCAACCCTGGAATCAATAATTCTGAAAGCAAAAAAGGATTTTCACACCCTGGCACTCTCAACGGGAATCCTTTCAAAATTGCATGACTTTTTTTCAGCAACCTAGAGTGAAGCACCCAAACTTCTTGCTAGTGTCACAGTCCAAGATGTCATAACTACTACTGTAAACTAAAATTTCAATGGGGAACCATAAAGCATTTCTTGCAATTCTCATAGCTTCTGAATGATCACTCCCAGCAATGGCATGCAATGTGTTCTAAGGAATGTCTTCTGATCCCTCATGAATTGTTTCCTGCTGCATTTCTTCAACATTATCATTGTCTCCATCAAGAAAACTGGATGCAGTTGCATCTTTTTTTCTTTACAGGCACCTTTTGAAAAAGGACCATAGTAGAAAAAACAGAGATCTTTAGTTGTGTTTTACTTCTTCTTCAAGGGTAAAGGCTTGAAGATTGGCTTCAAGCATCATGCGTGCGGATTGAACATGAGAACAGAATTAGCAACTTTATCCTCAAGAGCACCCACATATGCATCGACCAAATAAGTCTCATTAACGTCTAATCTGAACGATGAGGAGTCATATTTTGCATAGAAGTCTTCTAGTGATCCTGTTTTGTGAAGATGCGTAAATGCTCGCATTGGCTTCTCACGAGGATTGTCAAATGCCGCCCGTGTGAGTCTGTGTACAAGTTCCGGGTAGGGCTACACCTTCGACATTGTTTCTCGACAGAAATGTGTCATTGGAAGCTTGATTCGTTAAGATTCATTGATGTCATGGTTACTTTTGACGCTTCTGGTGTGCTGGCCAGCAAGAAATAGTGTTCAACCATCAAGATCCATATTTTGACGATTGTGCCAGAATATGTTGGAAAGTCAATCTTTGTGAATTGCATTGGCTGACAATATTATGTGCGCCCGTTCTGGTTTCCTCACTGGTTATTCTGTGCAACCCGAGTACAAAACAACAGCCAAACTTTTTGGAGCTCACCGCTAAAGCATAGTTGCCATGGCGTGAAAGCGACGGGTGGCGCCAGTGTACCGCCGCCAGGACGCCTAGGTTAAAATTAGGCAACGCGTAATAAATGAGAATTAGTGTACATTGCTAACACAAATATAAATATATTACATACTAATATATTGTAGTTCAAAAAATTAAAAGTCAATTTTAAAAACCACTAAAAACAAACAAAATATGTAATAAAGCTATAATTAAGTTAAAAAGAACTACGATACATAAGTTAAAAATTAAAAACTCAAAATGGTACTTTTTTAAAAATCTGGTGCGATGCGAATGCGATCTTATGAAAAAATCTGGTGCGAATGCGATCTTATGAAAAAATCTGGTGCTTTAGATTGTGAGATCTAAGGGGGCGTTTGGTTCGGGGGTAAGGGAATGGGATTCCCTCATTCCCTTAGTTGTGGTTTGTTTTAAAAAAAATTCCATTCCCTTACCCTAATTTTAAGTTTTTGATTACCCGTTTCACGCTTTTCCCATTCCCCGACTTATACCCGGGTTTCTTACTCATTCCCCGATTCCCCACCCCAATTTCTTTCTTCCCTCTCCGTTTCTTCTTCCCCAATCGCCGCCACTCCCTTGTTTCTTCTTCGCTGCCACTCACCTTCGCCGCCGCTGCAACTCCAGGTATGTTCCCCCCTCTTGCTCC